GATTTTTTAAGGAACTCAGGTGGTGTAGTGCCTAAGACATTTGACTGCTAACCAGACGTTTGGTGGTTCAAACCCACCAGCCACTCCCTGGAAAGACTGGGCAATTTGCTTCTGTTAAGATTTATTGCCTCAGAAACCCAATGAAGGTTGCTGTGAGTTGAAATTGACTCAATGGCAGTGAGTTTGGTTTTTGTTTTATATATATATTTAAATATACCAATTCATCTGATAAAAAACTATTAATTTATTGCTAGATTTTGAAGCTTTAGAGTCTATCATTTGGCTTCAAAGCTATGCCACCAGGATCTGAGGAACCCATAGGAGCAACCTTCACTCCTAAAAATCCCTATCTTTGTTGTTATGTTGTTAGGTGGAATGGGTTCCAACTCATAGTGACTCTATGTACAAAGAAGAAAATGCTGCCCAGTCTTGCTCCATTTTCACAATCATTGCCCATTGTTGCAGTCACTGTGTCAATCCATTTTGTTTTCATTCACCCTCCACTTTACCAAGAATGATATCTTTCTTCAGGAACTGGCCCCTCTGGATAACATGTCCAAAGTACATGACATAATGTCTCACCATCCTTCGTTCTAAGGAAAATTCTGGCTGTATATTTTCCAAGGCAGATATGTTCATTCTTCTGGCAATCCATGGTACATTCAATGTTCTTCACCAACACTGGAATTTGAATTATTCTTTGATTTTCCTTATTCATTGTCCAGCTTCCATATGCATATGAGGCTATTGAAGATATCATGCTTGAGTCAGTCAAACTTTATTTCTCAAAGTGACATCTTTGGTTTCTAACTCTTTAAAGAGGTCTTTTGCAGCAGATTTGTCCAATGCAATATGTCTTTTGATTTCTTGACTGCTGCTCCCATGACCTTTGATTGTTGTATCATCTGCATATTGCAGGTTGTTAATGAGTCTTCCTACAATCTTGATGCTGTTTTTCATGTAGTCCAGTTTCTTGGATTATTTGCTCAGCATACAGATTGAATAAGTGTAGTGAAAGGATACAACCTTGATGTGCACTTTTCCTGATTTTAAATCATGGACTAGCTCCTTATTCTGTTCAGATGATTGCCTTTTGCTCTATGCACAGATTCCCCATAAGCATGATGAAGTGTTCTGGAATTCCCATTTTTTGCAGTGTTGTCCATAATTTGTTATGATCCACAAGGTCAAATAAAACACAGGTAAACCTCTCTCTAGTGTTCTCTGCTTTTAGCCAGGAATCTGACATCAGCAATGATGTCTCTCATTCCATGTCCTCTTCTGAATCCAACTTGAATTTCGGGCAGTTTTCTGCTGATGTATTGTTGCAACTATTTATGAGTTATCTTCAGCAAAACTCTACTTTTATGTGATATTAATAATATTGCTTGATAATTTCTGCATTCTATTGGATTTTCTTTCTTTAGAATGGGCATGAGTATGGATCTCTTCCAGTCAATTGGTCAGGTAGCTGTTTTCCAAATTTCTTGGCATAGACAGCTGAGCTCTTCCAGCCTTGCATCCATTTGTTGAAACATCTTAAATGGTATTCTGTCTGACTCCTGGAGCCTTGTTTTTTGCCAATATTTTCAGTGGAGCTGGACTTCTTCCTTTAATACCATTAGTTCTTGGTCATATACTATGTCCTGAAATGGTTGAACATTGACCAATTCTTTTTGGTGCAGTGACTCTGTGTATTCCTTCCATCTTTCCTTAGTGTTTCCTGTGCCATTCAAAACCTTGCACATAGAATCCTTCAATACTGCACTTTGAGGCTTGGATTTTTTTCTGCAGTTCTTTCAGTTTGAGAAATGCTGAACATGTTCTTCCCTTTTCATTGTCTCACTCCAAGTTTTTGCACATTTCAATACAATACTTTGTCTTCTTGAGCTGCGTTTTGAAATCTTCTGTTCTGCTCTTTTAAGTGATCATTTCTTCAATTTGCTTTAGCTACTGTAAAGGAGAAATTCATGAAGCCTTTTTGAACAAAGCTGAATGATTGAATTTCCCTCAGTTCTTGCTGAATTACATTGTTTTCTTTGGATCTGCCAGTCTAGGAATCTGCTTGTTCAGCTGAAATCAATGTCCTTTTACAAGCTCCTGTCAGCTGGCTGTGTTAATTACTCCAAACCAAAACCAAACTTATTACTAGAGGCCATAAAACTAAGAAGTAATCTCTCTATATAGTCAAGCCAGAATGTAAAGGAAATACACTCTAGGAAAGAAAATCTTGACACAGGTGTCTTTTATATAAAGCACACCAAAGAAATATTTCTATATGATAAAAATGTGATGAAGGGAATGGCTTCAAAAGGTTTAGAGCTGGCCTTAGCTAAAGTTTCCAAACCCCTTAAAAGTTTTGTTTACCATGTTGTGTCAGGGAAATGAGATCCTGACACTAAGGGGGATTTTTCACCCAGGCCTGAGATATCTGATTAAAGCCGTGTAAACATCCACCAGTAAGGTTTTATGATGCCACTATTTGAGTGAAATTTAAAAGCTTTGTAATTAGTTCCTGAAACAAACCACTGTGATTTTCTGTATGCAATTGTCCAATAGAAGCCTATTCCCCACCCTCACCCATCCTCCTTGTGACCTCATCTAAATACTAATCAAACCATTATATTATAATTTTTTTTTTGTTCCACAGACTATATGTGCTTTTAGCTAGAAGCTGTTAGTGGAATTCATTGGTTCTCATCTACGTGAGTTGGTGCTTTCTTACATTCAGATGTGAAATTTTTGAATAAATCCTCTTAATTTCATTTTCATGGACTGACTGGGTTTTCTCTCTCTACAATACTATTCTATGTTCAAGAACAAGTTTCAGAGTCTCTTCTCACATCCATTTTGATCTTTTCTTTCCTGTCTTTTTAATGACCTTTTGCTTTCTTCAGATATGATGCCCTTGATGTCATCCTACAACTTGTCTGGTCTTTGGTCATTAGTGTTCAATGCATCAAAAGTGTTATTGGGATGGTCCCTAAATTTAGGAAGGTTATATGGTCTTGTTTTCATTTTCTTCAGCTTAAACTTGAACTTACATATGAGCAACTGCGTTCTTTTCCATAGTCAGCCCCTGGTCTTATTCTGACAGATGATACTGAGCTTCTCCATTGTCTCTTTCAACAAATGTAGTCAATTTGATTCCTGTGTGTTCTATCTGGTAAGATCCATGAGTGTAGTTGTCATTTGTGTTGTTCAAAAAGACATTTGTAATGAATAGATTGTTGGTCTTATAAAATTCTGTCATGCCATCTCTAGTGTTTATTTCTGTCACCAAGGCCATATTTTCCATGTGTGTATTTTTACACACATGACACACAGCTTCTACATTGTTTGCTCATTGCTCCTTTCCCTTATGAGGTATTTTTGTAAACATGCTCTGATAATTTTTTTTTTTTTTACAGCAACATGTAAAAAAAAAAAAAAAGATATAGCAGTGTTTACCGGAAAATACCTCCTGGGGGAAGGGAGCAGTTGGCAAACAAATGTAGAAGGCATGTGTTATTTGCATAAAAACACAGTACCTCCTTCTTTGTTTCCAGCTTTCACATTCTAATCACCAGCAATTGTCAATGAATCTTGATTGGATTTTTGAACAATTTCAGACTACAGATATTGGTAAAAATATTCAATTTCTTCATCTTTGGTATTAGTGATTGGTGCCTAAATTTAAATGATAGTTATATTAACTGGTTTTCCTTATAGGCATATAGATATCCTATCACTGACCACATTGTATTTCAGGCTAGATCTTGAAATGTTCTTTTTGATGATGAATGCTAAGCCATTCCTCTTCAATTTGTCATTCCCAGGAGAGTATACCATATGATTGTCCAATTCAAAATGGCCTATACCACTCTATGTCAGCTCTCTAATGCCTAGGATATTGATCTTTATGTTTTCCATTTCATTTTGATGACTTCCAATTTTTGTAGATTCATACTTTGTATATTCCATGTTCCAGTTATTAATGAATGTTTGTAGCTATTTCTTCTCATTTTGAGTGATGTCAAATCATCAAACAAAAGTTCTGAAAGCTTTACTCTATCCTCATCATTAGGGTCGACACCACTTTGAGCAGGCAGCTCTTCCCTAGTTGTATTTTAAGTGACTTCTCACCTGATGGGCTCATCTTCTGGCACTATATTAAGATAATATTTGGCTACCAATGCCAACCACTCAGGAAAGGATCAAATCTGGAGATCCTGGAGAGAGTGGGAGGGAAAATGTGGAACAAAATCCAAAAACTCAATAATGACCAGAATTACTGGTCAGATGAAATCTGGTGAGACTCGCAATACTATGGCCCTGGAATACGTTCTACAACTGGAATAAAACGCACCCCCAGGTGTGGGCTCTCAGCCCAATAGTTAACAAGATGTACATGTAAACCACTCAACCCAGGATGCCACACCCACACACTCAATGGTAATACATCCCTTAGAGCAATAGACCATGGGACACCAAAGGACCAACATTCAAACTGAGGACAAACAGGAGTGCATAATATGAAGGGCACAGGGGGAGGGTTACAGGGTAGGGAGGGGAGGAGACTGGGTTAGGGTTGGACATGGTGAATGGGGAGTGAAACTAAATGTATGCATTACGTTGAATGTAAAACAAGCTCTTAAAATAAAAAAAAAAAAAAAAAATTGAAAAAAGAAAAGATAATATTCAGCTGTTATTCATGAGGTTTTTTCACTGGCCATTTTTTTCCCCCCCAGAAATATATCACTAGGCCCCTCTTCCTAGCCTGTCTTAGTCTGAAAAACTCTGTTGAAACCTGTCTGCCATGGGTGCCCTGCTGGTATTTTAAATACTGTGGCATAGCTTGCAGCATCATAGCTGCATGTAAGCCACCACAGTACAACCAACTGACCGATGAGTTGTGGATCCTTTTCTTTATAGACCAGAAAAGAATTACAGAAGGCATCACCTTAATAGCATTGTTTAGCAGTGATCCAGAGTGTTGGAAACAACCATTTTCCTTCTGTCTCTGTGAAAGCCAGGTAAGGGCACTCGTGATGTGTGAGGTCTCCACAAAGATGTATGACTGGGCTTGAGCAAAGGACTTGAGCACAAATGCAGTTAGCCTGTCCAGCAAAGAAGAGACAGAGACATGAGAACTAGCTGCCTTGTAAATCTCACTTTGTGTACCGCATTCTTTAAAATTCAATGGGGAAACTTAATGGGGTGATTAGTGGAAGAAATAATACCTAAGAGCTAAATATTCTTAATCTTAATTACTTCTTAATCTCTATGATTATATTTTAGCTCTATGGTTTCTACAGAGTTGATTATTTTCACTTTTTTTCTTATGAAAGCATTGCAAGAGTGTCCAAGCTTCCCTACCGCTAACACTGTCATTTCCAATGATTTTTCCATTTTCCTACATTGCTGTCTCTTCCTGTCCTTTCCCTCCTCTCCTGCCTTAATGCACAGTGTAGAAGCTTCTTCTGTCATTTCACATAATAAAACATTTTGTCTTATATGTCCATTGTGGAGGTCCTTATTTCACTCCATGAGTGGTATTAGCAGAGCAGGTGAGATTTCAGAGATGAAATGGTGAGATTATCCAGCTGGAATGATACATATGTGGGTTTTTAAAGGCTAATTCTTTTCTATAAAGGAACTTCAAGTATCAGAGAGTAGCCAAATGTACAGAATGCCAAAATATTATGAGTCTACAGATAGCATATGGAAATAATTATCTTACCAAGTGTTTCCCGGAGTTCTACCATCATGATCCCCAAAGGTGCTGTAGGAACCATCATTATGCTTGTAATTCAATTGTCTTTGATACCCTGAAGAGGAAGTTTTCACACATTTATGAAGTAGTGGAAACATTGGAAGATGAATCAATCTTTTCATCAAGGTTTGTACTGAGGAACCATAGGGCAACTATTGTTTTATTAAGGTCTTTTCAAGACTTGATAATACCATTGAATTTTGTAGTTGTATTTTGTTGTGTGCTGTACATCAATTCTGACTGAAAGTGACGCCACAGGACAGAGTAGAACTGCCCCCATAGGGTTTCCTAAGCTGAAATCTTTATGGGACCAAGTCTCCAGGTCTTTTCTCTCTTGGAGTGGCTGATGAGTTCAAACTGCTAGCTTTTCAGTTAGTAGCCAAGTGTTTAACCATTGCACCACTAGGGCTTCTTTATGGTGGTATAGTAGGACTTTTTATTGGTTATCACAGCAACAATGACTATGATTCTTAACTGAAGGGATGCTCTTTGAGTTTGCTGATAGATATATTTAGGGAATCAATTAAGGTTTCCCCATTTGGGTTAATCGCTCACCACTGATGAGATGGCTGATTGCTTTGGACTTGATCTTCTCTGTTAGCTGTCTTGTCTCATTCAGATAGGTTAGAACATAGATGTTAGGGACAAAAAGAACCATATTCTGCTCTCCACAACCATAAGGCATCTGTACAAGATTCTGAAGGTTTTGCATTGCAGAGCCTAGTATATCACCTGGGGATTAAAAAATGTAAAAATAAATAAATCAGAGGAACTTAGAGATCCATTTTTAGTGGGATAGGATAATAGATTATTAGCTGAGAGGCCAAACTTCTTATGAAGAGGAAGAAGAGAAGCACAAGAGGTGAGGAAAAAAGAAAGAAAAAAAAAAGTAGAAAAACAGAGTAGATAGTTCAAAGATGGAGACAATAGGGAAGAAACTGAAACACAGGAGATACATCTTTTCTAATAGGTCACTTATTCGGTAAAACTGAACTACCAATTACTTTGAAGTCTACTAGGAGGCATCACCACCTAGTCAATCTCTTGAAGATGAGGGCACAGAGAGGTGATCCTGTTTATTTTTTATAGTCTATCAAGGAATAATAGGGGTAACAAAACATTTATTGGACCTTCTCATGTCCCACATTCCCCCTCCCTTTTTTTTTTAACATTTTATTGTGATATGGGTCAAAGTTTGCAGAACGATATTGTTTTTCCATTCAACAGTTTATACAGATTTTGCTTTGTGACATTGATTGCAATCCCCACAATGTAACATCTATCATCCCACTTCCTCCCTGTGGTTCCCTTTTCTCTGTGTCATTCTTTCCTATGTATTACTGCCTTTTGAGCTTTCTCCCTGTGCAAATGCTACCCTTCTGATCACCCATGGTTGATTGTTCTAAGGAGTGCACCTTCCTGGTGTAATTTCTCACCATATAGCCTCCCTATTACTTGGCTGCAAGTCAAGCCACAGGAATGAGTGACTAGGGGCCATGATTTGGGGTTTTTCCAGTCTCTATAAGACCACTAAGCCTGGTCTTCTTTTATGACTTTGCGTGTTCTTTCACCTTTTTCTCCTACTCTACCCAAGATCGCTAATTTTGATCCTCTTCCAAGTGGTTGCCTATGGTAGCTGGGCACCATCTAGTTATTTGGTCTTAGGATTGGTCACTAGTCCCTTGGACTATGGTTACCATGCGTCTTTGGTTATCTTCACTCTTCTTTGCTCCAGATATGAAGAGACTAATAGTTATATATTTGGTGGCTGCTTGCAAGCTTTTAAGGCCACAGTTATTACTCACCAAAGTAGGATGTGGAGAAATGTTTTTGTGTATAATATTATGCCAATTGAACTTTATGTCCCCTGTGACCATAGTCCTGAGCCTGCAGCTCCAGAAACTTACTCCCTCAAGGAGTTTGGTTATCATAACTTGGTCCCCTGTTAGCTCTGTTTTATATAACATCTTTATAGTACATACAAATATGAATGAAGAAATATCTGTGTTAGACTCTTTTCTTGAATAATAAACTGTTATCCTAGGCTTACCGCTCTTTCTCTCATATCAATGTCCAGTGTCAGGGACTTCATTAAAAAGTGAGGTGAGGCCTTCTGCACTAGAATTATAGAGATAGACAGCAGCTTCCTTTGAAGCTAGGAGACTTACCCAAAACTGTGTATGTTGCCCTGGTAGATCCTTCAACCACATTTGAAGGAATTTTTAGAGATAACTTTTCAGGAACTCCAGTATCTAATGAAAAAAAATATATACACAAGGGAGTTAAGATGCAACGTTAGTGGTCTCCAGTGCTGGTTGTTTATAAAGCTACATAACTAAGTATACTCAAGGAGAGAAGAAATCTGCAGACTGAACATTGTCTTCAAGATGATTCTAGGTGACAGAGTTGAATTTTCTTAATGCTATTTTTATATGATCATATTAATGAGAATTAGTAAAATATGGGTTTTCTACATGTATTGGTGACCTGAATAACTAGCAAGATAAAATACATGAGAACTTCATCTGTTTTTGACACTTACCTGATGCACAAAGCAGCGTATTGAAAGTTTCCTCCTTTTCTATTCCTTCAGGCTTTGTATTGAAAAAAACAAATCAAAAAGCAAAGTGAAACTGAGTGTTTAGGAGGAAAAGCAACTACTTTAAAGTGGAGGAGAAAGTGATATAAAAAATTGAGTTGTAGGTACATCCATATTCTTGGGACTGGGATGTCACAGTCACTTTAATATTGTTCTTGTTAGTTGCCATCTAGTCGATTCTGACTCTTGGTGACCCCATGTGTACAGAGTAGAACTGTGCTCCATAAGGATTTCAAGACTCTGACTTTTTGGAATCAGATTACCAGGACTGTCTTCTGAGGTGCCTCTGGGTGAGTTTGAACAATCAACCTTTTAGGTAGCAAAAAACAAAAAACAAACCAAACTCACTGCCATTAAGTCAGATCCAACTCATAGTGACCCCTCCTTGGGTTTCTGAGGTGGTATTACTACAGAAGTAGATTGCCCAATCTTCCTTTGGAGGAGTGGCTGGTGGGTTTGAACTGCCAGCCTTCTGGTTAGCAGTCAAATACCTTAGGCACTATGCCAGCAGAGTTCCTTTTAGGTGGTAGTCAAATATTTAATTTTTTGCTTTACCCAGGACTCCCATATAAATATGAGGTAATGCTGTATTATAAAATAAAACCTCCAAGAGTCAAAGAAAGCATATTGTTCTCATACCTCAACTAGCAGAGGCTTGACTACTGTATCCTTCTGTCCAAATGCTGGGATTTTAGGCTTCTCTTTGTCACACAATTCCTGAGACTGTAGGGCTTCTGCAGATGCTGTGAAATTCACTTTCCCTGGTGGGGAAGAGGGGACACGTAAACAGTGATTTTATATCAAATAGTTTCACCTTTTAACATTTCCCCATTTAGCTAGTGATTTTCTAACCATAAATTCATTCTTAAAGGAGGAGAAACAGCATGAATCTGGGTTAGAGTAGAAAGCAAATTGTCAGAATGTGAGAGGTGAAATGTGTTAACATCTTAATCACTCACCCAGTGACTTCGGGGTCACAGCCCAGGACACAGTTTTCCTCTCATTTCCACAGATACAGTGAGATTCTGTGTTCTCTTCTACTGGGACAGCCAGGAAGGCAGAGGAGTCCTCCAGCTTCACACTGACCTGTCCCCCACACCCATGGGCATGTTTGAGAACACAGGCAGATAATAGGGCCAGTCATAGGGAAAGATCTTAGGGAGACAGTGCATACTAGTCCATAAGCTTGTTGCCATTGAGTCAATTCCAACTCATGGTGACCCCATATATTACAGGGTAAAACTGCTCCATAGCAATTTCTAGGCTCTTATCTTTATAGAAGAAGTTCACAAGATCTTTCTTTTGTAGCTCTGCTGGGTGACTCTGAAATGCCAACCTTTAGGTTAGTAGCTGAATGCAAACTGCTTGTGCATTCAGGAAACTGTAAACAAGGTAAATCTTATCAAATACTTTGTAGTTTGCATGGTTGTGATAAGGGAATTGAAACACTGACAAGAATTAAAAAGAGGAATGTCCAGGATTTAAGGCTTGTATCAACATAGGAAGAAATATTGCCTTTAGTTAGTGTGAATAAGTGAAATGATCAGTTGGAAATAATGCCAGGACTTGGGAACACACAGATATAAAAGGCTGAATAAGAATAACCTTACAACCTCAAGCGTTTCAAGTAGTTTTGCTCTTAATACTTATTTCATTCCAGTATTGTGATACATTATATTCAGTTATGATTAACCCTTGAGACTGGAGACCTAGGTAATGAGTGGTGATCATGGTCCTTCCTTCCACTTCATTCACTTCTAGAGAAGTGCCCTTACCTGAATGCAGTGGGACAAGTAGTTGAGCACAGTAGCTTTGAGTTTGAAGGCTTCTCCTTTCACCACAGAGTAGGGAAGGATGAGTTCTAGGAAGAAGGGTTGGAAGACTTGAAGAGAGATGATGTGGGAGAGGCCAAGTCCCCTTGTTCCAGACAAGCAGAGTGCACTGGCCTTCCATTCTGTGATGGTGTCTGGGACTTTCACTGCCATCTCACTTTCACCTGATACACTAGTGAGGAGAAAAATAGAACAGATGGTTGATTGCACAATGGTTAGTGCTCAGCTACAAACTGAAAAGTCAGTGGTTCACTGTGTGCTTGGGACCATAGTTGCAGGGGACATCAAGCTCAACTAGCATAACATACTACACAAAACATTGTTCCACCTCCTACTTGGTGAGTAGTGACTGGGATCTTAAAAGCTTGCAAGTTGCCATCTAGATACAATGATGGGTCTCTCCTCATCCATAGCAAAGAAGAATGAAGGAAACCAAAAATTCATGGAAACAATTAGTCCTAGTGACTGGTACACCATCCAATCTGCAGCCTATATGACTATGAGACCAGAAGAACTAGATGGTGTCCGGCTACTACTGTCAACCACTTGGAAGGGGACCTATGTAGGAGATCCTGGATAGAGAGGGAGAACAATGTAGAACAAACTCAAAATCATTTGGAGAAAGAAGAAAGTGGGGGGGACCAGGTTTGCTGGTCTGATAGAGCCTGGTGGAACCACTGAGACTCTGGCCCCTACTTGCCCTTCAGGTCTGGAATTGAACCCACACCTGTGGCTTCCAGCCAACAATAGACAGACATATGAGTTGAACATTTCCCTGAGATAGATGCTGCAGTGTAGTAAATTACTTAGTATGGCTTTTCTACCCATAAGTCATTGTAAACTCAGTGGTGGAATGAGCAACTGAGGAGCTGATTGTAAATGTTATCCAAGTGGAGTATTTCTGTTGGGCGTGGCACAATATAATGTTCTGGGAGGTGCCCACTCTCTCTCAGGTGCTTAGAGTTCTGA